GATTAAAGGAATACAAATCGATTTTCCTTCGTTTCTTTTACTGCAAATTTTCCACCAAACGGCCTCATCATGTACGCCTCATCGAATGTGACATATCTGCTAATGACTATCTTCTTGTCTTGTGGATCCCATAAGTTGAAGCCTTTAACACATTCTCTAAAGTTTACAAAGACTACTTTCCTTGCCTCGCCCTCGGATTTAATTTTCTATCATTAATATGATAATAAGCTTGACACTCAAATATCCGAAGCGACTCATAGTCACTAGCCACCGAACCAGACCAACACTCTATAGGAGTCTTCCCCTGTATCGCAGTGCACGGCAACCTATTTATGAGATGGCTCGCATAAACTAACGCCTCGGTCCAAAAGGATCTAGGCAATCCACTCTGTGTCATCATACATCGCACCTTCTTCAATAAGGTACGGTTTAATCTCTCAGCCACCCTGTTCTGTTGTGATGTCTCTCGAACTGTGAAGTATCTTCTAATGCCATGATCCCGATAAAACTACAAAAATGGATCACTCTTATACTCTCTACCATTATCCGAACGAAGAGTCTTTACATTTCTACCTGTCTGCAGCTCCACTTTCTTCTTCCACTACAAAAAATATCCAGAACCTCATGTTTATGCCTCATGGTATATACCCAATTTTCTTAGAATAGTTATCAATAAAAGTAATAAAATAGTTAGTCCCACCAAGTGATGTGTGTTTGGAAGGGATCCAAATATCTGTGTGAATGTAATCCAATATACCTTGGGTATTGTGAATAGCGGTGCTGAACTTCACTTTGGTCTTCTTCCTAAGTACACAATGCTCACACAACTCCATCTTGCAGGTCTTCGCACCTTTTAATAGTTCCTATATGGCTAATGTCTACATAGACTTATCACCAGTGTGTCCAAGCCTCATATGCCATAAGGTGGTAGTGTCATCCTCTGTAGTGATAGAAGTTACCAGACCCCCTGTAACTATCTTGCCCTTCAAATAGTATATGTTGTTTTTTCTGACACCTTGCATCACCACCATAGAACCCTTCATGATGTTCACAGTAGCATCATCTAAGATCACTCGATAACCTGCTGCCTCCGAAGTCCTAAGAGAAATGATGCTCTTCGTCAACTGCGGCACGAACCTCACTTCTTTCAATTCCCTAATTACCCCATCATGCATCTTGATTCGAACTGTACCAATTCTACCAATGGGGCATACGTGATCATTACTCATAGGCACGACATCCCCTCTTTCTAACTCTTCAAAGCTAGAGAACCAATCCCTCCTAGGGCAAATATAAAATATAGCTCCCGAATCTAACATCCACTCTGTAGAGTCGACATAGAAAACTGATGGTAGTATGGGGCATGAATAGCCTGAAGAATCCAAATATGAATGGTCGCTAACAACTTTAGCAACATTCACCTCTGAAGCCTGTACAACTTTCCCCTTGTTCTTCCCAGCTTTATCCTTCAACTTTAGGCACTCGTTCTTCTAATGTCCCTCTTCTTTACAAAAGGCACATTGATTTCTACCAACACTCTTATGGCCACCTCTATTCTTTGCTTTTGAGCGGTTAAACTGGTGACAGTTTAGATTACGGTCTCGAACTGCTAATGCATCTCCCAATGTTTTTTCGGAGGGTTCGCCATCACTCTTCCTTAACTCATAATTTACCAATGCCGAAGTTGCCTCCTTGTAGCTAACAATAGTTCTTTCATTGATCAAAGTGAGAACAAATATACCATAATCATCCTCTGGCAACGAACACAATAATAGCATCTCCTTGTCTTCATCCTCAACCATGATATCCGCATTAGCCATATCCGAAAGCAATTTTGTGAAGTTGTTAACATGCTCCCTAATGAAAACTCCCCTCTTCATCTTGAACGGGTAAAACCTCTTCTTCAAGTGAAGTCGATTCTTAATACTTTTTGTAGCTAACAATAGTTCTTTCATTGATCATAGTGAGAACAAATATACCATAATCATCCTCTGGCAACGAACACAATAATAGCATCTCCTTGTCTTCATCCTCAACCATGATATCCACATTGGCCATATCCGAAAGCAATTTTGTAAAGTTGTTAACATGCTCCCTAATGAAAACTCCCCTCTTCATCTTGAACTGGTAAAACCTCTTCTTCAAGTGAAGTCGATTCTCAATACTTTTTGTAAGATATTTTTCATTGAGTGTTTCCCACAATCTCTTTGCTGACGTCATGTTCATCACATCATAACTAAGATCCGGCATCAAGTATGACCGAATAACTCCACAAGCCCTACTATTCATCTTCTTTCAAACCTTGTCATCCATATCTTCAGGTTTCTCTTGTAACTCAAGAGTCTCCTCCAAATTTTGTGCATCCAACGCATCCATCACCTGTCACTTTCACAAATATAAATTAATCTTGTCATCAAACTTTGGAACATCAATCTTAGTATTATTAATACTCAGACTCTGTATCGCCTTCGTAAGAGACGATCCCGATATGCTTGCTTCACCCATGTTGACGATCTAACTCTTCAAATAAGAATCCTTTAGCGAATCCTTCGAACAAGCCCCAAGCCAAACCCAAAGCTCTGATACCACTTGTTGTGCATAACGAAACTCGAAACACACGAAAAAGGCACAAACAAGAACAAGATAGATTACAACCAATAAGTTAAACATAATCACCACGATAAGACAAATAAATTTTACGTAGTTCGGTAAGTTGCCAACGTCCACGGGGCAAGGAGGGGGGGTTTTACTATTAGAGATAAAGAGAATTACAAATAGGATTACAAATCTCACCAAAAACCCTCAGACAAAGCTCTCTAGATCTCTCACAAACTCTCCCACAAAGGATGCACAGCACTCTCTCAAAGGCTACTAAAAATGTCCTCACTTAACCCTAATTAATCAGGTTTAGGGTTATTTATTAGCTCATAACGAAACGGGTCTGAAATCCAAACCCAACTCAAAACCCGACTGGCGATTGACCGCCAAATTCGTTGCGGTCGATCGCACGAAACGACAAAAACCTAAAATGATTATTGTTGACCTCTTTGTTTTGATGATGTTTAATAAATAATTTACCATTAATATTGTTTGTCTAGTATTTGTGTTTTCTTATTTATTGTAGATAAACAATAAGTTAGAGGATGTATGGAATCGAGCATTCACGATCATATCTAAGGGAGGTTGGCGAAATTATGGAGTGAAACCTATGCAATTCAAATTGAAGATCCAAGTTTTAGCTTTATCCATAAGTGTACTAAGTTGAGCTACATCGAATATCAATCAAGCTTGGGTATATTTAGTTTAGGTTTTATATTATGTGTGTTAGTACTTTAAGCTCAATCATATATACACACACGTATTTGGTCT